TTTTACGCAACAAAAGTACGATTTCTGATCTAAAGAATCTGTTCTGAGCTTTACATTTGCTAGATTACGTTTTCTCGAGTTTCACCCAATTTAATGGTTAACTGTGGGTTGGCCTCAGCTTATCGCTCGGTTTTTTCAGTTTTTCACGTAGAGGCTAGTTTATTTTATCTTGTGGTGTGTTGACTATGATCACAACTACAGGAAGACTACGTGCCAGTTAACCGATAAGATCCCCCGTAGGCCGAATACCGGAAGGCAGTTGATGACTGTAGTCGAGATGTGTTTGTTGGCGATCTCGTGGTACCGAAAGAATACCAAGATCGTGCCAAAGGAGTACAAGTGTGGTTACTGAGAGTAATCGAATTCGTGCAAAGTCACAAGCAACGGAAGAATGTATGTCCTTAGTACAGTTTAACAAAGCAGTACAGTAAAATCCCTGGCATAATTGGTTATAATAATGATTATTTCCATTACATCAAACTCGTTCTGTTAATAAAAGGAGCTCACTACAATCTCATCCGTTTTATCCATTTTTGCCCGTTTTTAGTGTAATTTTAACGATTTTAGGCTTTTACTAGCATCTATAATACAGTTTACGTCAACATAGTCATGAAAATATCATACAAAACGACCTGGATGCCGTTTTGCTGTTACATCTGGCATGCAGTGCGGCAAATTCAAAGGTTGGTTCCATGAGGCATGGTTAAATCTCACAGCAACTGCTTACAACAGATTCAATAAATCCGGATCATGAGTGGGTATGTAGTACGTGAAACACGGATGCTGTAGTTTTGCTGTGTAACATCATTATCCTATTGACAGGTCTGAGGAATAAGTTGTCAGAAAACGTGGAAAAAGACAGTCATACGAAGGGTAGACAAACAAGGACGAGCAACGAAAACAAGAATGTGAACCTTGACAGCTCTACTATCGATGGAGCATGCATTAGCACTAGTGATGACATGCTGAAATTTTGCACCATCATAACGTTGACAGTAATAGACTCCCTCAGGAAACTCAGGCCTCCTAGCTCAAGCTCCTTGAATGCAACAGTGGTTCGCGAAAACTCTGTAGGTGGTTGGACCCACGTTAATAGAGCTAAGAAGGACCAGGTGTCATCGTCTCAGCTGAAAATCAGCTGATAATCTGATAGCACAATCTACCCCTAAGAATGTCCGTCCGGTCATCAAAGAGCCTAGGATTCAGAAACGTGCTTCGACCTCCAAACAATAAGGTACTGAACCTGAACGCACCGGAAAACCTGGGAAAACAATAACGGTTCGTGATGACTCTCATAATCATGAACCTCAAAGACAACCCTGACCTTCCACTTAGCCTTCAGGACAAAAATAACAGGATGCTCTGGGGTGGGTTGAACACGAAGCTTAAACTTCCTAGAATAGAGCCTTCAACGGTCACACGGTCCACTCAGGGAAAGGAATCTGAGCACCGAAATCACCCGAGGCTACTTCGTGTAACACTCAAGAATGAGACCGACGTAGAGGATGTCCTGCTAGCTAGTCATTTACTAAAATCCGATGAAAATGTAAGAATGCTGCCCAAAATACCGTGACCTGAGCGCAATCTCATCCGGAACACTCTTAAAGAATATCGAGAGTTTTTTCGTGGGAGAAATATAATTGTGCAAGGCGTACCGAAAAACATGGACTCTAATCAAGCAAACTCTGATGTTAGGGAATGGTAATTCATCAAACAGTCCTTGACGCTCAAAAACATACTTGCTCAACATGTGACGAGACTAGCCAAGAAGGACGGTGATTCTAGACCCCGTCTAGTGAGGATAACTTTCCCATTCTCCCATTGGCGGCTGCAACTCTGGAAACACTTCGTGCCAACAGACGTCGGCTGCCAACTGGGATCCATGTGCACCCGGATAGGCCACATGACGCCAGGATGAAGCACAAAGGCAGGTTGGAGCTGACCATTCCATTTGTGGACTGTCTTGATCATAAAAAAACGTGTAAAGGACAGGGCCTACCAACTCAGCAAACCTCATTTAGGTAGGCTACCTGTCCATTCACGTAAGGCTCACACAGACAAACAGGAAGAAGCACACGCGTTCCAAATTGAAAGCATAAACTGCTTATACATGAACGCCGCGTGTCTACCAAACAAAATGGATGAGTTACATGAACTTAGCAACTGTAATGAGGCTCATCTGATAGGAATATCTGAAGCTTGAATATCTTCTCAATTTACGGGCCAGAAGCTAGAAATACCTTGGATGTTTTTGTTTCACAATGACAGAAAAACAGGAATTGGGGGTGGAATAGCCGTATAAATACGTCATTGCTTGGAGGTGCACCAAGTTCATAATTTTGAGTTTAACAATCTTGAGGAATCCATATGGTGCTCTGTAAGATTTTCTACTACTTTGAAGTGCATAGTCGGGTCATCTATACGAAGCCCACTGCTGATATTCATTAGAACAGTCGTATGCTGGAAGGACTATCCCACTTTACGTGTCTCGGGCTACAATCTCCCTAGAGTCAATTTCGCGGAAGATACGTACAATGGAAGTGAAAACTCAACTGAAGCTCGGTTCATCAACCTCATTGAGGATTTGGGATTTACGGAAATGTGAAGCCGGTATCTCGTTGGAGAAACAGTCAGATACCGTCGCGCTTAGAATGGGTATTTACAAACGAAGAATTCATAGTTGACAACCTCTCAATCCTGGCTCCCATTGGAAAGAGCGATCACGCCGTTATAGCTTACAGTTTCGCCAGCAAAAATGAGCTAAGATATTCCACCAACAACTTGCGCTGGAATTTCAAACGGTTGAATGTCTCAGCTCTACAGGACTATCTACAAGAAGTTGATTGGGATGTTCACCCTCAACTTGATGTGGACGGCCATTGGGTCTTCTTACTTCACACGCTCTGATGTTCTACAAAACAGTCAATTCCTCAAACGGTCCACAATAGCTACAAGCAACCTACAATCATCAAGAAACGCACTCTTCGCCTGATAAGCCGCAAAAGGCACTGTTGGGTAGAATACAAACCAACTGACAACAACGGTGCGTACAGGCAATGCAAACATATAAGGAATATATGCACGAAGACTATAAGAGAAGATAGGCTCCAGTACCAGATAAAGCTTATGGATACATTTGTCTTTAATCCGAAAAGCTTATTCCGTTATGCAGCCTCTCTTCGTCAAGCTAAAACTGGATTTTCGCAACTGCTAGGTCCTAATGACGCGACCAATAACGATGGCGATGCCGCTAACCTTTTGACTGAACAATACTCTTGGACATTTCAACTGTCTCACATAAACTATACTGATGACAGTTTCATCTGCAACTCCAAAGGACTTTCCGTAGTGAACCTGACCGCTGAATTGGTGTTCCGGAAACTGCAGCACCTACGAAAAGATACTTCTCTTGGCCCAAATATGGTTCATTCTGCTATACTGAGAGAAGCAATTTCAACCATGGCAACACCGCTAAGCGTGATGTTCTCAAACTTGCTGAGTCGAGGCAAACTACCGGAAATTTGGACGCTGGCTCACATCACACAAATTTTCAAAATAGGTCGACGAGGAGAACCTTCAAGTTGCCGACCAGTGGCTCTTCTCTCTCTACCCTCAAAAATCATGGACTCCCTGATATGCGATGGTATGCATGACCATTTACTGTCCTTATATTTCTTCTCACGACAACAGCATGGTTTCAGGAAGGGTTACTCTTGTAAAACCAACCTGCTGACTGCGGTGGACATATGGACAAGCATCCTCGATCCCAAGGAGAAGGTTGATATCATCTACCTAGATTTCTGAAAAGCTTTTGGTGGGGTCAACCATATACGTCTTATCAATAAGTTCAAACGAATGGGCATCAGACAACCTCTAATCGATTGGCTCATTTCATATCTAAAAAATCGACATTTTAAGGTCAGCGTTAACTTCACTTTATCTCAGGCTATGGAATATCCTTATATGGTCCCACAGGGCTCGGTACTAGGACCTCTTCTCTTCTTGATTTATGTAAATGATCTTCCACAACAGGTATCGTCAGACTTATTACTTTTAACCGATGGCGTGAATCTTTGGAGAGAGATACGCAACCAAGACGATACACAGGCACTTCATGAGGATCTGACTCGACTTCAAAGTTGGGCAGACGATAACGGAATTACCTTTAACACTTCAAAGTGTAAAGTAGTCCATCTATGACATGTCGCAGACCATAGTTACAACTTATGAAACTTCTCTCTAGTAGAATCTTAAGTCGACAATGATTTAGGAGTCCTGGTGCCCTACGATTTGAAGTCTTACGCTAACTGTGACAAAAATGCCTTTCGAGCAGACCTTGCACTGGTAACATTGAAGCGCATTTTTGGCCAGTTTGATGGAAGGAATTTCCACACAATCTTCAGAAGTTTCATTCGTCACCATTTATATTACGGAAACATAGTATTTCCTCCTTCACTCCGAAAGGATAAGGACACGCTAGAATGTATCCAACCGCGAGCCACGCAACCAGTTCGGGGGACTCAAATACAAGCCTTATGAACAGCACCTCCAATTACTGAATCTTTATCCACTAGAGTATAGGCGTCTTAGAGGTGGCGTTATGACTTACAGTATCCTTATAACTTCTGAACATCGCCTTAAACACCTACTTAAGCTTAGCCTCAATACAGACCCAAGGGGTAACACCCAGAAATTGGAGATACAACATTGCAGAACGGACTGTAGACACAACTTCTACTCCTTAAGGGTTGCCCATTACTGGAATTCGCTGCCGACTAAACTAGTCCAAGCGACTTCCCAGGAGTGCTTTATGAGGAAACTTGAACTATTCTTAAGGACTAAGGGTAACAAATTATGAGTTACCAATTATTTTTTTCTAATCTATTATAGTTGATATACCTGCCTGGAGGTAATGGTGATCCCCTGCTACTAGACACGGAATCATGTTAAGCGAAAGCTTCTTCTGTTCCGTCCACAACCATTTGTGTGGATTGGCATTTGAATTTTTGAAGGCGCTTTAAACGATGCTTCGGTTGCTGACCTTGCGGTTTTTACCTAAGCGAGGTGTTCTTAGTTTAAGGAGTTATAGTCCTGATGGAAGCTATAAAAGTGAACACGGACCATCATACTACCTTATCCCAGAAATACCTAGTGAGTCTTACGTGTCAAGAATCATTTTGGAACCGCTGAACATCTCGAAGTAAGTTTTTTATAAATTGTATGTCACAATAATAGTTTAGATGACCTGAAACCCGATAAGGTTTTCGGTGGCGTTTCCAGACTTATAATGAACTATCAGGTGTCAATATCAAAGTTGTCAGATAATATCCAGAAGGGAGAGCTTTCAAAAAATGACACTACTATCATATCTTCGCTTGAACAAGCATCTTTTCCAGTGGAACAAGCATTTCGTAACCTAAGTTGCTTAACAACCCTGAAGAATGATCACATTTGGAGTTTGGTAGTATCACGTCTGTATCAAAAATTCAAGGCGGCTAGGCGTGAATATTTTCATCGCGATTCAACCATATGTGAAGCTCTTTTAACACTCAGGCGATCTTCCTCAAATTTGGATGAGTATGAGAAAGGTAACTACGGGTGGCTTGGAGATGTTTACTGGTTAAAATAGGCCTTTAGACCACTTAATATGGTTCTCATTATACAATTTCATCCTAATACAAGCATTACATGTGGCGTACATTCCGTAGCCGTCAAAAGAAGCTAAATAAGGTTCCGCTTTTTTCGATCGATATACATTTGTGTCAAACCCTTTGTGCATATGTGTCTACGACTAGGTTCTTAGACTCTCAGCACTCATATTGAATATAGTACATTATATATAGAATTGTGAGTTACGTTTGAGATTAAAACAACAGATATAAGTGAACAATTTTCTCTTCAATTAGGTCATCATCACTTATTATTTTAGTCCACGTGAATATTTGCATAGGTAATATAAACAAACAAGGCAATTTGAGAGTCAATGATCACATTGAGGTAGATTGTATAGCTAAGTAAAATGCGCAAACTGATAGTAAGAAAACAAGTGTACTAGTAGTGACAAGAATAATAAAATAATGAAAATCCTAGTCAATAGTTTAAAATAGGAAGTAGATCGAATTAGGATAAATAGGTTTTACAATTATGATCACAGTACATTGTTAAGTTTACGTAAATAATTAGATAGTGAAGAGTTGTTTGCTAAGTCATATCCGGCCAAGGAAGGGGACGGGCATCACGAATTTCTTCCGAAAACAAACTACAGTTGTATGTTCAGCTGCCAGGTCCACTTTCTGCTAAATATAGGAGACGGAAAATAACAAAAGTATACAATAGGTCACTCGAAATGATTTGATTCTATCTACCATATTACAATTACCAACCAGGTGTCTCGAGAAAGAGCTGCGTATTGTCTTTGTCCGGGCTTTTTCAAACCAAGCATGGAGATGTTCACTAATTCTTTTGTTAAGTTGACTGGTAGTTTTGTAGTGAGAGCTCAGGTGGAGGAAACCAGTTTATTGTTGCGTGCAAAATTACACAGTTGCTTAGCGAAACATGAAAATCATACATTAAATACATTATTCGCGCAACTTTGCGTTATCACTTATGTACTTCATTATTCCTCTAATTCTGCATGTATTGGTAGAAGCAGTTCAGTTGAGAATTCTTTAAGATAATCCAGTTTTTCTCACTTTTATAAGGAATGTAGGAGGGGACTATAGTAGGACTGTTATTCTATTCCGAGCCATGCCTGATAGCTCCTCAAACCATTGAGTTGCACCATCTTTAGAACCCCAAGCAGGGGATCTTAATGGACTGACACATAGCAGTCCTAGACATCTTTTATATCGCAGCTCAGTATTATAAACTGACCAACATCAAAGTAATTTAGTGTAAAAAAGCTGATTCAGAACCCACACTTGTTGTAGAGTTCAAAATTTCGGCAATTTAGTGGCTCGGAGTCCTGTAGAAAGAACCGAGCTTTTACCCTAGACGAGTTCCTGTGTCAGTTGGGAAATAAAAGTAAACAGAATAGAAAGGAAGCGGAATAGAAGTCAAGGGAAGTAAAACAAATAGTTACTAATCATCTTTTGATTTAGCAATAAAACGGAACAAACAGATCAATTTATTTGCTGGTCATTCTCCTATCTGTGAGAGGACTGGGGTGCTGCCCGGCCACCCAAACTGAAGTAAATTTCTTCTTAAAGACCCACTTCCTGAGTCTTTGATTGACGGGTCCAATCCACGAAACAATAGAACATCGGAGTGACCAGAAATAGATTTATATCCCACTTGATCCATTAAGATTCTGGCGCACTTGTACATTATTATTTTGGAATCAGGGTCTTCCAACCCTTCTAGATGAATTCTTCATATCTATCAACTTGGTCTGAGTGCCAGGCGTTCGTTTTTCAAGCTGTGGTTTCCATAAATAACAACCATCTCCAAGGGAAGGCAATGAGTTAGACTTTCCTGATAGTGACTAATAACACGACCGTGTGAGAGCACTTCGAAGAGAGCTGACTCCCTCCATTTTTGATTTTATCAGGGGATTTGAGGGGGAATTGCGTCTGTCCAATAAAAAACAACTATAAATTCAATGAACAGTGCGTATATTAAAGGTCAAATCAATCACATTTGTTTTATCCTAAATATACATTTGTGGAAACTATTTTTTAAATGTTGATTCATCCATCAATTAAGTGCTGAAAACTATAGAATAACACACAGTAGTCATTTTATGTCTTGAAACAATCTTTTTCGATACTTTACTTGTTTCACAATTTCAGGCTTACTGGATGTATGGATATATGATTGTTGGTCAGTGGGTACTGGGTTATTGCTTGCCAGTAACAAGTCTGGAAAAATCATTTCATTTTCTGAATTGAATGATATTATTCAAGAAACTAGCAAAACTACAGCCTCTCCACATATTACTCCACCAAACGCCCGCAAATCTTTGGAAGTGATACATGATAGTTATGCTACTGTGGAGAAAGAAGAAGCTAAGTTTCAAGCAATGGTTGCATCTTGTGCTGTAGTCTCATTGCCTCAGTATTACAGGTCAAAATACACTGGTCGTGCAACAATACCGTCATCTTTAGAAATCCTCACAGGTGCCACAGATGTCAGTGTCGCTGAGTCAGATCTGGCTCCATCAGCTCCTTACTGGCTACCAGCAGTCTTAGGTGGTAAAGAAAATGGGGGACATATAGCTGGGATGCATGTTAGCTTAATTTCAAACGATGTAGTCAGTGAATTCCTAAAACATTGTAGTACTAGCGAAGTGAGTTCAGTATCTAAAAACTTTTGTCTATATATTTTTAAATGAAGGTTGTAGCATATAAAAAAACTGGGCAGATTTAAAAACATAAATCATTTAGTTCACTTGGTATTGTTTTACTTAAATCTTCCCATTGATGTTTGATGACTGAAATCGATCAGTCTCTTATTGGCATATGTGCATACTGTGCGTATGCCTCGATATTGCCTTAATTTACAAGCATTATAATCATTTAGATTTTCCTTAGCGGTTAAATGATAACCTGAAACCTTCAGAATTATCCATCATGCTTGTGTGAAGAAACCGACACTGTTATGAAAGATAACAGTGTATAACTAGCATCTGCAAGTTCATTACGATTCTTCAGTTGAGTTCCCAGGGATGGTGCGACTCAGTGTCACCTTGAGGCGTTATCAGATATGCATCGTAGTAGGAGCATGTTGTGATCTTGCTTATCACATTATTCATAGAGGGGAGTTGATCGTTCATAACTACGGGGAGGTCTTGTTCGCTATATTGTTAGGTGAACTGTTTGAAAAAAATAATACCTCTCTTTATTTGTTTGCAGGGTGTACAATTTTGCCTCCCACTTTTCCAAATGTTTCCACTTTATTTATATGTCGAATTTCTGAGAGCTCAGTGTACTTATTTATTCATTTTATTTGAGCACAAATATTGGTACAAAGAGGCACCGAATACATTTGTGCCACACAAGTCACTTGATTTGTGTTTAGGCTATGATACTGCCCGGGTGTCCAGACTGAAGCTGGTGGTTATCTTCGACGTCGTGCATCATTTGAAGACGATGGGACTGGTTGGGAAATGCGGAGATGTCAGTGTATGACATGGTGTCGTGGCATGAATGAAAGATGCAAAGGGCTGGCTTCTGTTGGTCCTTCACGACTCCCTGGCTGGGGTCATAGAGACGGTGCGACAGTGGCTAGAGACGTTATCAGATATGGCTCAGAATAGAAGCCAGTGGCGATCCTGCTATAACCTTCTTTTACTTTCTTCTTCCTTAACTGGAAGATTTCTTCTGGTTGTACCTTTTCGCTTCCCCCATTATTATTATTATCATTACATTACCTTACACTAATCTGTACGTTATTGTTCTTTTTTACGCCCCTTACCTTTTCTTTTCTTTTTTTCCTTCTCTTCAAATTCTCATTGTTTTGTGTGGCGCATATGTATTTGTTGCCCTCTTGTACCAATATTTATGTGTTCAAATAAATAATAAATAATTATTCGAGCCTATATACTTTAATAGGTACGTAAAACCGTATGGGAATACTGGGTACGACGTGCAAGTGGTCGTTATTTTGGCCCAGCTACTGGTTTATGTGCGTCTAATGATCAGCGTATACAGGATATTCGTCACTTACGAAGAACTCTGGCAAAATATCTTGGTTGTAAAGACTGGTTGTCCGTTGTTTGGAGTTCTCCTTATTCACACTCGCCTTCGTCTCCTGATGAACTTATCGCTGATGTCCTAGAACCTTCCAGATCTATTTTAACACAAATTGGAGAACGTGACTTTAAGCTACTAAAAGAATGGGCTAATGTAAATCTAGATATATCTGGTAAGGATTTTTCATATGAAATTTAATTACCATTGTTTTTAGCGATACTATCTTGGAGTTGAGCTTAAATTGGTGTCAAAGCATAAATAAGGATGATCACTCAAGCCCAATGTTACTTAAACATACAGCTGTTAATTTTTTTCTAGCTAACCACATTGCCACTATTACATTGATTGATTAGGAGTGATGTTATTTTGAAAAATAGGCAGGAAACACATTATCAAAGGTTAAATAAAATATGGTACTTCTGTAAATCGATCCATTTAATTGGACTTGTGTGCAAATGTTTTTGCCTTTACTTTATCATGCATAGCGATAGAGTAACAGACGGGAAAAATGAATAGTCTTCCTAAAACCGAAAAATTACTATCTTTACTAAGTTCTTACGTGTTTGATAAAAACTCGCGGATTATAGAAATGCCGAAAACATACTATTGAGACTCTGCTCCCAGTCCAGGCGTTTAGAACGATGGGCTGAACATTTCAGAGAACAGTTCAGCTGGCCTTCAGCTACTCTACAACTACCCTCCATTCCCAGACAGCGTGAATGGAACATTGAAGTAGGTCCCCCAACTCTTGCTGAAGTTCATAAGGCTATAGATAATCTGAAACGAGGAAGGGCTGCTGGTCCAGATGGACTGGCTCCAGAAGTCTTTAAGGATGGTGGTCCAATTTTAGCGGTTAGGTTGACTAATATTTTAGCTAAGATCTGGGAGTTAGACGTTATTCCATCTGACTGGTCACAATCACTTATCGTCCCAATATATAAGAAAGGGTCAAAATCATCCTGTGACAACCACAGAGGGATTAGTTTAACTAATATAATATCTAAAATACTAGCCTCAATAATAATCAGACGCCTAACTAAAACTCGTGAACTGCAAACACGAGAAAATCAAGCTGGCTTCAGACCTGGTCGTGGCTGCATCGACCACATATTCACCATTCGTCAGGTTCTAGAACACAGGCATACTTATCGGCGTCCGACGATGGTGGTCTTTCTTGACTTAAAAGCAGCATTTGACTCGGTAGACCGCGAGTTTCTGTGGCAGTGTCTGTCATTGAAAGGCGTACCTCAGAAGTACATAAACCTTGTGAAGGCTCTTTACTCGAACACTACTAGTCGAGTCAGAGCTTATGGCGAACTGTCATCTACTTTTGCAACCTCAAGTGGTGTCCGTCAAGGATGTCCACTTTCCCCATTCTTGTTTAACTTCATCATAGACCTACTGATGGAAATAACTTTCTCGTCGACTGAGTTCTCGGGTATTGATCTCCATCCAGGAGGTCCACTTATCGACTTAGAATACGCAGATGACATAGTCCTGTTTGGTGAAGACGCTGACAAAATGCAGAGTCTTCTGGTAGCACTGAGCAACAATGCTAGGATGTTTGGAATGCGCTTCTCTCCCTCTAAATGCAAGTTGTTGCTTCAGGACTGGTCTGCGTTAACACCTGAACTAAGGATAGGGAGTGAAGTAGTCGAACGCGTTGACAACTTCACTTATCTTGGAAGTCTGATCAGCCCTAATGGGTTGGTATCGGACGAAATCTCAGCACGGATTCGAAAAGCTCGTTCGGCTTTTGCCAACTTACGTCACCTGTGGCGAAGGCGAGATATCCGTCTATCAATAAAAGGACGAGTATACTGCGCGGCAGTCCGTTCTGTTTTAATTTACGGCAGCGAAACATGGCCATTAAGAGTAGAAGACACTCGTAAGCTATTAGTATTTGACCACAGATGCCTTAGAAATATTGCTGGCATCTGTTGGGATAATCGGGTAAGTAATAGTGAGGTTAGACGCAGGGTATTAGGAAATGATGGTAAATCAGTTGATGAGGTTATGAATCTTCATCGACTGAGATGGTTGGGCCACGTGTTACGTATGCCTGAACACCGATTACCACGACGTGCAATGCTATCCGGTATTGGAAATGGTTGGAAGAAAGTTAGGGGCGGCCAAACCAAAACGTGGCATCAGTGCTTGAAGTCACTAACCTCTAGTCTGAGCCATGTTGGTAGATGCAGACTACTTGGTTGGGGTCCGCGTGACTATCGTAACCAATGGTTGGAGACTCTTGGTGACATGGCTCAGAATCGATCACAATGGCGTCGGTGTATACACTCCCTGTCTTCCCTTAAACTATGAGATTAAAATCGCTTCATATCTTTCTTTCTACGAACCAATTCTTTCTGCTTGTACTATATCTCTATATGCAATATTTCTCTTATATATTACCACCTTTTACCTAACCACTGTTATGAATCTGGTGTTCATCTTGTTGTGTTGATGCGGTGTGGCCATCTGGACCGATGCACGTATGTGCCTGGTCCTACGTTGTAGCTGACTGACTGACTGACTGACTATTATTGAGACTATTAAGAATGATAAAGTTAAAGAAAACATAGGTTTCACACATCACTTTCAAAGGTGATTGATCCAATGAGACAATAAACCATAAAATAATTATCAGTTCGCCTACCCCTATTAACACTGCTTGATAGTACCAATTAAAGATTTGATGCAGATGCGAAGGCACGAATTTATGGATCAAGGGCGATTGAAAAACATATGGAACTCAACACGACTGTCGGTCAACACCAAAGTCAGGATTTTCTATACAAATGTCTAGATAGTTCTATTGTACGGAGCTAAAATTTTGAGAACTATTAGAATCATTATCAAAAATATTTAGGTGTTTGTAAACAATTGTTTACGTAATATACTCAATGTCCGTTGGCTAGATACCATCAGCAACAGCCTACTGTGGCAGAGAACAAGTCAGCCTTCAGATGGAGGGGAAGTTAGGAAGTCACTCGAGGTAGATAGGACGTATATTACAGAAATCACCAAACTGTATGACAATGTAGGCCCTAACCTGGAATCCTCAAGGGGCAAGAAAAGAGGAAGACCAAAGAGCACATTGTGTCGACAATCGGAAGCAGATATCAAAAGAATGAATAAGAGCTAGAAACAACTGGATAGGAGAACCCAGAACGGAGTCGGTTGAAGAATCCTGGCTGACATCTATGCTCCACGGGGAGTAACAGGTGTAATTAAGTAACTAAGTACGATGGTACCAGCAATCAGATGTTATTATCATTATTATTACTACCATTATTATTATTATCATTACTATTATTAGCTTTATTCAATATTATGTTTTTGGCACAATATAGAATTCTCAGGATAAAGTATTTCAGCGAGCTTCCGTTTCTTATTTCTTGATCTATATTAACGATAAATATTAAGTGATCGCCAGTTGAATATTAGCATTTCAGAAGTCGACATCTGAATAATATTCATCCTTTTCAATGCACATTGTCAGTCATCACGATTTCTCCGATTGTAAGTCTTTGTAACTTGTACAGAGAAAGGTCGTAAACTTTTCATAAACGCACCTGAAGTTTTGCATTTAATTGACATAATGATGTGTCAAAACAAACAAGGAAACAGATTGCTTATTGAAATATCTAGATGGCACGAATAGGTAGCCCAGATATTCAAGCAGGCCGCCCGGGTGTAGGGAATAAGCTAAAAATTAGGGGCGACCAGACCAAGACGTGGCATCAGTCTATGAGTACTGATGCGTGGGACATGTGGGTAAGTACAGACTATCATTTTCTGTCCGCATGATTATCACAATTAATGTTTGAATAATGTAGATGACGTGACTCTGAAGACTTTGCAATGGGAAAGGTGCATGCACTTTTTATTTCCTTAGATCCTAAGTTTCTAAATTCTGCTTCGGTCTGAGCACCCGGGCAGTATCACAGCCCACACACAAATCAAATGACTTGTGTGGCACATATGTATTTGGTGACCCTTTGTACCAATATTTGTATTCAAATAAATAAATAAAAGTTTCCAAATTGCCTTATCAATTTTGATCATCCTACTAATCCACATTTTTTTGAGTCAAATCTTGTATCCCTTTTTTTCTATTTCCACTGTTGGCCATATTAACAGGTATAGATTACTTGGGGTTATTATTTATTTATTTATTTGAACACATGAATATTGGTACAAGAAAGCGCCAATATATATGCGCCACACAAAATGAAAATTCGAAGAAAAATAGGAAAAAAAAGCTAAGGAGCGCAAAAAAGAGAACAATAACGAAGAGATCGGTGTAAGGTAGTGTGGTAGTAATGAGGAAACGGAAAGGTGCAATCGGAAAAAAATCTTTCAGGTAAGGGAGACACAACCACTTCTTATGAAGAAAGTAAAAGAAGGTTACAGCAGGATCGCCACTGGCTTCTATTCTGAGCCATATCTGATAACGTCTCTAGCCATTGTGTAGCACCTTCTCTCAGACCCCAACCAGGGAGTCGTGTAGGACCAACACAAGCCAGTCCTATGTAGCTTTCTTTCATACCACGACACCATGTCATATACTGACCACCTCTCCGCTTTCTCCAACCAGTCTCAGAGTCGGCAAATAATGCACGACGTGGAATTCTCTGGGACGACATTCGTATACCAGTCGCCCTGATAACTGTTATTATTCAGAAAGCAACATGAAGCATCGACTACAGTTTATTATGTATTATTATTTCTAATGAAATATTAATCTTATATCTTTTTTCACTGATATAATTTAATAAAATTTATTCATTTAGGCAAAACTTTAGAACCTTGGGACGTTGAATATGCTTTGGAACAGTATAATTACGCTTTTAATTATGCACGTTTAGAGCATATAATCACTCCACCAGATGGTTCACTAGTAAATTATCTTCACACAGTATTTTGTGAGTTGGCAAATGTATTTCACTTCAAGTTATCATCTCAAATACCAAGATCATCTGTAGAAGAAAATGAGTGTTATGTTGTTGAAAAATTGGTTTATCATGTGGAAGACTTAACAAGTGGTACACTACTTGGTGAAATAATTATTGATCCTTTCGCAAGGTGAGTGCACTTTTTAAAGTTGACTAGTATTATTGCTTTATTTATTGTATGTGTTTATTCTCACACCCTCCTACCACTTTATTTTCTCTCAACTATACATTTCATGGTCCAATTATCTGAACATTTCTTATTACGTCATCTTATAATTTTATAATTGTTATCGCAGTTTCTATATTTTTATAATCATTGACCTATTTCAGATTATGTAACATTGATTTGAACCTTTTTTATTATTGCTTATCAAAACTAATGCACCTGTTGTCACACCATCAATTTGTACTTTTCACATTTTACTTATTATGTAATCTTTTCCATTATTATCATTGACTTATAAACTACCTTGATTGGTTTAATAATTTCGTATATGCATATAAATATTACTGTATATTAGAGTAAAGCCTGATGAAGATCTAATCGAAAACAATATTGTTCGCTTATATATGCTGTTCTAAATATTCCTTTTTCACCAATATTTTACATTTTAATTTATGCTACTTATAAATTTATCAGTACGTCAAGTGTAAATCAAACATATTCAACCCAACCTACTTTTTATCATATTTCAAATAACTGATTTGCAATACTCGATCTTATTATCGCTCACTTTACTAAAGAAGAGATTGTCAAATGTTATATTTTGAGATATTCAATTCACTCTTCATATATGATCACTTTAAACGTAATCATGCTGATGACATTGCTGAAGTGGTTTAATTTACTGAATCAAATAATTTGAATTATTATTTTAAAGTACAAACTCCACTGACCATAAAAGAAAGAAATTCCATCATAAAAATATCCTATTGAATATCTATTCAATTTTATTAAATAAGTCAAATGTTAAGTAATTTTAGCCGCTACTTCAGTTTATTGGTCAGACTTGTCTACTGTGATACACCAAATGAGCTGTGTTGTTTGAATCGATTGTTTCTACCATACAAAACCGATGGTTTGGTTAGCCATAGAGCTCAAACCACCAACTGTTTTGTCCGAAGGCAAAGTCGTAGTGTCAACTGTACCAACTGACTCCACAAGAACGAAAGGCCTTGAAAGAACTCAGAAATAAAAAAGATATTGTCATAATACCAGCGGACAAAGGACGCACCACAGTAATCATGGATAAAGAAGAATACGTCAACAAAGCCGAAGAACTACTAGAAGATAAGAACACATACAAACTGATGGACACAAATCCCGTCAAAAAATTAGATAACCGAATCTCAAAGACTTTAAACAAACTAGTCAAAGCAGGAGAAATAACAAAACAAGACCAATGGAGAATGAAATCCAGTGGACCAGTACTCCCTCGACACGACCAAACCATCCAGCTCAGAGAACAAAACTCCACCAAAATCATCCACCTGAGCTACAAATCTTCTCCACCATCTCAAAACTTTTTAATGCAAATCACCTCGCTCTACGAATTGCCATTTCGGCGTGATATGGTTTTAATAGTACGTAGGTATTACAACAAAAATCATTAACAGAAAAACCGTATGTGACTGCTTTCATTATCTCTGTTTTTCGAGCGACAGATTAAAAGTCAAAACATTTGATTTTTTACCAGTAGATTTTTGATTCAAAGCACATCGTCTGGTTTAGTTTAGGGCGCTGAGTTATGGTATCACAAACAGTCATATATAAATGGTATTTCAAAAGTCTGAATAAATAGAAATGTGCTTTGTAAACAAGTTACAAAGGAAAAAACAAACAAGAAATTTTTGTTTCAATTATGTTTATTATTATTATTTCTAATTTATTTAAACCATTTTACTCATTTTGAAATTTTCAGAACCAACCGTTCAGTTCCTGTTGGTGGTAATATATTTGCCCCTGTCTTTGCACGAAATAATTTACCAAAGAGTGATATTCGTGTACATTCTGAATCTTCTCATTATCCTATAGCTTACATTCTAGGTAGTTTAAATCAGTCTACTGAAACAAATGGAATTTCTTTCAATGTAAGTTTATATATAACATGTAACAAATTCTAAAACTTAACAACTCTATTCGCGTAATCCTACATTTTATTGTGTATTTGCCTATTCTCAATTATATAATCGAGTGAAATTGTCAGTCAGTTACAACGTAGGATCAGGCACATATATGCATCGGTCCAAGTTGCCATACCTCATTAGCACAACAAGATGAACACCGAATTCATAGAAGCAGTTAACTCAATGGTGTAATATATAAAGGGAAGTTTTTATGTAAGTATATAGTACAGAAAGAAAGATATAAAGCAATTTTAATCAGATAGATTAAGGTAAGATAAACAGTGTATACACCGACTCTATTGTGATCGATTCTGAACCATGTCACCCGAAGTCTCCAACTATTAGTTACTATAGTTACGTGAACGAGTGAAATTGATACAATAGCTACAAATAGATTGTATTAGTCGTAAACCATTCGAATTCAAAAGGAAGACATAATCGTATAATTTATGATGACTGATTGATCAAACAACGAAAAAAATTGTTCAATCAGACTATTCACATGATTTAGTAGTATAAATCTAAAATAAGAAAATTTCAGTTTGATTGGTTGGCAGTCTAAATATGTTAGACTTCACTTAGTCATTTCCTATTACTCAATATAAGTTTTAAGATTGAAGAATTCATTTTTTCCATCATCGTGTTAGTAATTAATTAGATAGTGTTGATTTGTATACTTTTAAAAGATAGGGATCAATTATAGCTATGGAACATATATGTGTAAAATTATATTCACCTAGTGTGTAGGGCTTCTATGTTCATTAAATAAGTTAGATGTATACTTGGTAAATTTATGTCACTTTAAAAAAAACATTTATGCTTGAGAAAATTAAGATGTGTTTGACCACTGAAACTGAACTGACAAACACTTACTGACTATTAATTATGTCATTTCCTATTATGAATTTCTAGCCCCCAAATGCCCTGGTATAGTCGAGGGTGGGAAAGAGTCAGCTCTCCCTCTCGAAATGCTCTCATATGGCCATATGTATACAGCCACTATCAGAGAAATTCTACTCACTTCCTTCTCGCGGCATTACTGTTCTTTACAAAATTGAGAGAACGAAAAGCGAATGTTTGGCGCTTCACCTGGGCTGGTGGACTCGGAGAGTACACCTAGAGGAGTTGAAAAACCGTGCTTAAAAACCAACGGTGCACATGGGTTCCAGAATGCCAAGGGAACAAGTGGCGTATGAACCACTTGTTGGTCGCCGGCTTCCATGGGACTGCATCTTCTGACGTTGCTCCACTGCCTTGTGGATCAGACACTTAGGTAGAAGGCTCTGGGTATGATCCCCTAAGGAAACTACGTGCTTCGGTCTGGGCACTCGGGCAGTATCACAAGTGACTTGTGTGTATTCGGTGCCCCTTTGTACCAGTATTTATGTGTTCAAATAAATAAATCTATAGATCACTTTCTACTCTGGACTCATTGAATGTCGACCGCTTGAATAGAGTATACTATCTAGCCTGTACTCTGATTCTCTATATTTGATTGGGGATCGTGTATCTGGTATAACCAAACATCAGTCTGTCTGTAGTGTATCGATCGAGTATTCAATCTAGTGAAAGTATAGTCTCAGTTGCCGATTGTATTAATGTATAATGATAGTATAGCTTGACATCAGAAAATATTTCTATTCTCTTGTTATATCATTTTCAAAGACAGTAAATATGTATACATAAATATATATATTTGACTTTTTTTATAAAAAGGTTTTATTATCATTTATGTCTATGTTTGGAGCATGTCTTCAGTATGTATCATGTCGTGTACCGCATCATGAATTATATGGATTCCCTCATTATATAGCATTGGATACACGTTATGTTATGCCAGATTTATGTTATAATATAGGATATAATTATGCTATACCATCATTAAAAAATTTACCAAATAAACAAAAATCCTATTTTCAACCATGTAAGTTAGAGTTTTGTTATGATTAACATTTTTTTCACATAAAGATTTATATTCATAACTCATATATTATACTGTTAATATTCTGTTAATTCAGTCAGTCAGTAACAAAGTAGAACTTCGTACGTACATACATCGATTCGAGTTGCCATACTACATTAGCACACAGATATAATTGTCGATTCAAACCCTGTAGTAGTAGAGGTAGTAAAAGTATAAGCAGTAATCGGAAAGATTAGGGTTTGAAGATGTTACTCAAGGAGTATAATCCAGAGAAAAAAAGGGACATGAAGAATTCAGGAGATTAGAATTAGACAGAGCAAAAGGAGTGGATGCACCTGCGCCACTGCAAACGATTTTTGATGCATATCATTCAAAGTCTAACCATCGGTTGCTATCGTTTCGCGGATCCCAACCAGATAGTCTACATCTACCAATATGGCTTAATCCACTTGTCAATGACTTCATCGATTTGTAACACGCTAATTAGCATTTAACACTTGGTTTTGACAATGTTAGTTAGACCTAATTACGTTCGTTTTACTTAAATTACTGACCATTTCTTAAACATTTCATTGAATAGAATTTCAATTGAACAACAAATTATTAATTAATATTGTACACAATATTAACTTATTATACTATCGATAAGAGCTTTATTTATTTTTGTTTGGGCACCAAATACATCTGCACCACACAAGTCACTTTTTTATTTTATTTCAACACATAAATATTGGTACAAAAGGGTACCAAATATACATGCGCCACACTATATTTGTGTGTGTGGGCTGTGATACTGCCCGGGTGCCCAGACTGAAACAGGTGGTTTTCTTAGGGGGCCACACCCCGAGCCTTTGGCATAAAGGTCTGATCCACAAGGCAGTAGGGCATCCATCGTAAGGAGATGTAGTCCCATGGTAGCCGGTGACCAACGATTGGTTCATACGCCATTTGTTCCTGCAGGATACTGGAGCCTATGTGCACGATTGGTTTGGGGTCCGGTTAAAGTGGCGGACATTCGTTTTTCGTCCTCTCATTTTCGTAAGCAACACCCCCACCACGAGAACGTAGTGAGTAGGACTTCCCGGGTAGGGGCTGTATACGCGTGGCCATGTGAGAGTATTTCGAGAGGGAGAGCAGGCCCACTCCACTCTCGGCCATACCAGGGCATTTGGGGGTCACAAGTCACTTGATTTGTGTATAGGCTGTGATACTGCCTGGTTGATCAGACTGAAGCAGGTGGTTATCTTAGGGATCACTCTTGCAGCCTTTGATCTAAAGGTCTAATCCATAGAGCAGTGGAGCAACGTTAGGAGATGCAGTCACATGGTAGTCGCTGACCAATAATTGGTTCATACGCCATTTGTTCCCTTTGCATCCTGGAACCAATGTGCACCATTGGTTTGGAATGAGGATTTTCCAACTCCCCTAGGTATACTTTCCGTGTTCACCAACCCGATTAAAGCGCCAGACATTCGCTTTTTGTCCTCTCAATTTCGTAATGAACAGTAGTGCCGCGAGAAGGAAGTGAGTAGAATTTCTCTGATAGTGGTTGTATACGCGTGGCCATGTGGAAGTATTTCGAGAGGGAGAACTGACTTCTCACCCTCGACTATACCAGGGTATTTGAGGGCTAGAACAAAGATTTATCACACTAGAAAAACATGAATTCATTTTACTGTTAACAACTTGCAATATTTTCAAGATCTCTAGTTTAAAATAGTTTACAGGATACTTATAAATGAATATGATTGGAATTTATTGTAATCACATATTGTCATAGGGTCGTGTCTGCTACTTATGTAGATGGATATAAGTAGTATGTAACACCATTCGAAAGTAGAATGCCTGGCAGCAGAAATTTGAGAAGGTCGAATAGGAGAGAACAGAAACATAGAGTGATTAGCATAGAAATGAAAGAACAACAAAGTCTAAGATAATTGATTGATATTATGCAAATAAAGTATTAAACGTATGATATTCACATTTTACCGAATAACTGTAATTTTGTATTCAAACTCATCTGGTTTTCCTCTACTTGTGTTCCGATTAAGTACAATAGGAGTATAACAATAAATCTAAAAGACTAAATAAAACAGACTGTACCATACACATCGCATTTAGACGACCATTCTGGAGTAGTGATAATCCGTTGTCAAGATATAAACGATTATGTAATCTCAATGGTTGGGCTCATAAGTTAGCTGAAGCTAGACTATATATAAGCCAGATTTCACAATCAACAAACCACAATAATGAATAAGATTAAAACATAATAAATAAAGCTTAGTTTGTGAGGAATAAAAGTCATTGAAATAGAATGTAGTTAAAATATGACGTAAAAAAATAAAATGGAAGAGGTTACGTAATTTCATCGTGTTGTATCATAGAATTTGTGCTGTAAAGCAAAGAAAAAATCGATAATAGATTCGTTTTTGTGAATACACATCTTACAGATTTCTGACGCTTGATAATAATAACCTCAGCACATATTTTAGAAAGCTATAGATTTGAATATTTAGTGATCACTTTGATCAACTTCAAAGTATCAGTTTGATATTTTGTGTCCAAGTGTTTCCTGGGAATCACTGCTAAACCTGCCTATTTTTCTTGATGGAAGCCTTTTGAGATATGTTTAAAAAATTTAAAGGTAGTATGTTGTATGCTATTTATGTTGACAGATGTAAGTAGTATGTAGTTTTAATCGAAAGTGGAATGCATGGCAGCAGAAGGTTGAGAAGATTAAATTGAAGAGGATAGAAATGGAAACAAAACGTATCTGTAATAACAACAGAATTGAACGAATTATGAAGCATGTAAGGGACAACTAATGGAAGATGTGCAAATTGTGTATTTAATGTATGGCTTTCATATTTCGTGAAAACGCTTTATAATTTTGTATTAAACAATGAATTGGTCTTTCTTACCTGAATGTTCCTTCACTACAGTAGGTCCTCCTTTTTATTATGCTAATATTGCTGCATTGGACAAGTATACGTAATTTTATTAGGGGCACAGTTGGTGTCAACATAAAAAGAATACTTATCAACCGGTGATTGAGTTATTGCACAGGTTGGTTTTATACAGAATAACTATTGGTATACATTGACATTTGGACTGGTTATTCAGTAAAATGATGTTCAATTGCTCAGTTAATCAGGATCAAGATATCTAGGTTTTAAGCTTTCTTATGCAAGATTTTAACAATACCAATTTTACGGACGTATTTTTATTTAGTGTTTAAGGTATTTAGGATTGGCAAGTAAGTTTGTGTTACGGCATAACTGTTAAATAAGAAATAGTAGTGTACAATTGAAATGTTTCAGTCCATTATAACTCACCATTTGGAATCTTGAAGATCATACTTGAATCGTTATCCCATATATCTCACAATACATCCAAGTCAGTAATGAATCTATCATAGTTTTTCCCGATTACATTCCTTCATTAACGGTAGGATTCACCTTTCCTAACTGGAATAAATCTGTTTTTATTGTTTTTCCAACTAAGCTATTTATTTATTTATTGATTAAAAATTAAACTTTTTGTCATCACCTTCACAGTCTTATCATTTCGGTTTATATGATGCATATATTCTGCTATCCTATTATTGTATGAAAATTTCTATTTGTTAAAGGTAAAAGTGTTTAGTATAGGGGGTTTGTGGCGATTGTTAAATTATATCGATTACATCATAGATTGATCTTAGTTAAATAACCACTGAAAACTAATAAGCACTGTATAACTTCTTTGTCTTAGTATAAGACTCAGAAGGGCACACCTGCGACCCTACTGGGGATCAAACCTGAAATTAAATGATGAGGCAGGGTTTAACGTGTAGATTACTGAGCTAGCTTCCAGCGGTTCGTATTTCTTAATTCAATCGATTCACGATATTGCGTGTGATGTAAACAATACCATTCAACAGTCTCCGAAAACCTCCACTACTAATCGTTGTCATATCTTAACCAGCAACTGATTTCGAAAGGTAATTCTCAGAGCTCCAGTGAGATTCTATGACCAGTAGAAACAACTCGATAATGTCACCTGTTGATTATGGAACTTCGAGATGTAATGCAGTGTTTGGTGAGGGTCGAAAAACCATTGGGCTTGGTTTCCGCGCTGTTTAGCATTTGTCAGCAAGATGTATGTGTAATCTTGAAGCGACTAGTGCTTTCTGATAAATTTGATCTCATGTCATCCAACCTTACAATCATAGACTTTACAATACTGAGCTCTCCGGGCCACTATCAATCAGCAATAATAAAGACTTAGCATACATAGCATTGGTTACTATTTAGTGATCAATGTCGAATAATAAAAATTCTTGAAGTAATATTCAACAGAGAAAAATCTCCTGAAACATGATTTAGGGACTGATTCATACAGAAAATGTTACAATGTTTAAAATTTGTTCTATTTCTAAATCATGTTGTGTTGTACATTCATTCATTGTATATATTTCTTTTATTATTGCATTTAGCTGCTATCGGATTAAAAACACCTTCTAGGTCTATTAAATCATTGTATTTGTTACAAGAATTATATCAATCTCGATTTGATTTAGCCATGTGGTCAAAGAAATATTCAGAAACTAAATGGTCAACAATACAAAAAAATCTATGGAAATTACATATGCCTTATCCATTGCATCCAGAGGATACATTACCATGTTCTTATACAAATATATTTGGACCAAATTCTGAATCTGGTTTAATGTATCATCATATATGGCGTAAAGTCCTACTCGAAGATATTCTACTTTCATTAGATGAAGCTGGTTGGTTATCATCTGATAAAACAGATTCAGAAAAGGTGAGAATTTTCATTGTTGTGGTTTTTTTTCTCTATCTATGGTATATTACACTAATACAATGATATAATAATAAAGCTTGTCTGAATGACGAAGTTGATGATACCGCTAGACTGAATACTCGGACGGGTACACTATACAAAGACTAAATCAGGTTATATCAGATATCCGATTTACCACTAGAAGTAGTGAATCAGAATAACGTTAGAAAAACACTTTATTCCACACAGTCAGTCTTAGGGAGTTTGGAGTAAAAATCAATAAGAGGAAAGGAATCATATATTCAATAGTTAGTTAGTTGAGTGCCAGTTAGTTCAGAAGTCAGTACATTGGCTATTTGACGTTTAAAAAAACGCAAAATATAAATAGTTGTCCCCCCCTGGGGATTACATGAATAACTTATTCTATGACAAGCAACAATTAATTGATCTAATTATATTGTAGTTTAAATTTTAAATAATCCTATTCACTGGTATCACAGTTAACTCACGAACTAACACTGGGATAACGGCTGAAGAATCATTGGGGAGGCAAAGAGATGATGAGCAGCTGTTGCGTCTCAGTTTCCAGCCTCTCATCCATTGCACATCAATGATCTCAGACAGCATTGAATTAACAATCTTCAGATCTGAGGATGGTTATTAAACCTTTAAGTATCAATTTGGAACACATTAACGCTAACACATTTTCAAGTTCAGTCCTGTAGTGATTTTACATTGCTTATTTCTCAATACCATAGATGAATAACTGTTTCAATTCCGATTTGATTGACTTGACATGTCGCATGTTTTTTCACTAAAGAGTCAAAAAACCAATTAGTGGAATTCTGTTGTGTTGCCTTCCACCAAAATCTCAATGTTATTTATCCAACAACGTATTGCATCCTAAGTTGGTATGCTTTGCTTAGCTGTCATTAATTAAGTCAGAATAGTCATGTGATCGTAAACAAGGTGGTCTTAAGTACTATTCAATTAGTGATATATTTATAATATCATGATCTACTCAGTGGTCAAGTTATTTAATGCTATCAAGTCCTACCTTGATCTTGAGTATTGTTAGAAGTATGTGGGCTACCGTCGTTTCCTAGTTGCCTACACCACAAAATAATACTTTTTGAGATGCTTAGAAAGGAAATTGTATTAATAGTAGTAACCTGGGGCCGTGATTGTAGAGGGGTCGTTCACACAGTTGTTCGTGATATGTTAACTGTATACTTTTTTTTCCTGTACTATATCCTTATATATATATTACCACCATTGAATTAACTACTTCTATGAATTTGGTGTTCATTTCGTTTTGCTAATGAGGTATAGCAACTTGGTTCGATGCACATGTGTGCCTGGTCCTACTTTGTAGCTGACTCACTAACGTTTTTTTAAAAAAGCCTTTCCACCAGTGACGGAAATCCATACGACAAAGAAATGTGTACTATTTTTAAGGCCAATTAATATTGTTTACTTTTATCCTCAAAAATATATACCTATTGTTAAAAATCTTTTTGTTCTACTCCAAAGTTTCTTGCGAATTGCTGAAAAATGTTTGTAAACAGAATTTACTTACTTACACCTGTTACTCCCTGTAGTGGAGTATAGGCCGCCCACCAGCACTCTCCATCCAACCCTGTCCTGGGCAATCCTTTCCATTTGTTATCAATCCTTTTCATATCTGCTTCTATTTCCACAATATTAATCCACGTCTATTGTTATATTCTGTATTTTGTATGTTTATTAACTCTCTGTAAAGTTCATAAAAGTTCCATCTTTTTTTCTAAACAACAAGTAGTATTAATTTGCAAACTTTATATTAAATCATTCCCAACATTTTTATTTTATTATTTTTATTTTAACACATGTTGGTACAAGGAGGCACCAAATACATATACGCCACACAGATCTCATTTGATATGTATGAGGGCTGTGATACTGCCCGGGTGCCCAAACCGAAACAGATGGTTTTCTTAGAGGGCCACTCCCCGAGCCTTCGACGTACAGATCTGATCCATAAGGTAGTGGAGCATCGTAAGGAGATGCAGTCCCATGATAGCCAGTGATCAACGATTGGTTCATACGCCATTTGTTCCCGCAGGATACTGGAGCCCATTTGCACCATTGGTTTGGAATCAGGTTAAAGCGGCGGACATTCCTTTTTCGTACTCTCATTTTCGTAAACAACAGTAATGCCACGAAAACGTAGTGAGTAGGACTTCCTTGGTAAGGGCTGTATACGCGTGACCGTGTGAAAGCATTTCGAGAGGGAGTGCGGGTTCACCACACTCTCGGCAATATGCAGGGCATTTGGGGCATTTCCATAATGTGACTGACAATTTTTCTCTTAATATGTACTTGTTATAAGTGTCTGTTTAATTAAGGTATGTAAAATATAGTTGAAAAACATTAGTATATCATTATCTCTTAATTTCTTACAAATATAAACAACTGTTCTATATATTTTATTGAGTAAAATAGCATTCTGTACACATTTCCTTCCATATGATGTAAATGATTTTCAAGTGTTGTACAACTATCATAAGTATAGTATTGTATCTGATTAATTTGGACAGGTACTATTGCATTTTAAATCAGTATACTTACTTACGTACTCCTGTTACTCCTCGTAAAGGAGCATAAGCCGCCGACCAGCATTCTCCAATCCAGTCTGTCCTTGGCCTTCCTTTCTAGTTCTATCCAATTGTTGTTCATTCTTCTCATATCTGTCTCCGTTTCTCGGCGTAATGTGTTCTTTGGTCTTCCCTTTCTCCTTTGAACTTGAGTATTTAATGTGAGGGATTGCCATGTAACGCAGTTGGGTGCTTTCCTCAATGTTTGTCTTATCCACTTCCAGCACTTCTTCCTGATTTCTTCCTCCGCTGGGATCTGGTTTGTTCTTTCCCACAGTAGGTTGTTGCTAATAGTGTCCGGCCAACGGATCTGAAGTATTTTGCGTAGACAAATGTTAATAAACACCTGTATCTTCTGGATGATGGCTTTCGTAGTTCTCGAGGTTTCCGCCCCATACAGTAGAAGTGTCTTGACATTTGTATTGAAAATCCTGACCTTGATGTTGGTTGACAGTTGTTTTGAATTCCAGATGTTCCTCAGTTGTAAATATGCTTCTCTTGCTTTGCCGATCCGCACCGTCATATCTGCATCAGATCCATCGTGTTCATCAATCATGCTGCGCAGATATTTGAAGGTTTTTACATCTTCCAAGTCTTCTCCGTCAATCGTGATTGGATTGGTGCATGCTATATTGTATCGGAGAATCTTGCTTTTCCCTTTGTGTATGTTGAAACATACTGCTGCTACCCCGGTCGTCTTCTCTTACGTTTGTTGTTGCGTGTTCAATAGGAGAGCCAGATCGTCTGCGAAGTTTAGATCGTCCAGCTGCTTTCCCCCAGATGTTGACGTCTTCATAATCATGGGAATTCCGTGTGATGTTGACCATCTCAGGCACTCTGTAGTGTCGAAAAAACTGGATATACATCCAAATGATAATCATTATCATCATAAACTCAGTACTAATAAAACATATAAATGATTTATTACTCAATAGTCACTAACTCTATACAATTTAACTCTTAATGTGTGTATGGATCAAAATTCAAAGAATCTTTCAGATTGCCTCCAACTGCTATGTGTTCAATCACGTAATCTAATTGATTATAACTGCAGTTTAATCGACAGAATTCATTCAGTGTTTAGAATCAGGCATTTGTTTTGAACTGTAGTGAAATCTAGTGCTTGCTCGTCAAAGTGAATTTCAATTTTTTAAATTATGACGACGGTAACTACTTTTGTACTTGATTTTCCCTCTCTCCCTCCCTCCCAGTGATTTGACTGTATCATCTTTGTGAGTGAAATAGTGACTGTGTGGTTAAGGCGTCTGAAGTTCGGGTTCGAACCCTACTCTGCCTACTTCAGTTTCAACCCTCATATTTGAAGTGTTACTCTTACGCAAACACCTGACAAATAAGTTAATTTAAATTTCGATGTAATAGCTCTTTGATCTTATTCTTTGTTTGTTTTTTTAAAAAAATTTTTTTCTTTAGGTATCAGAAGTTTTTAAACGATTTCGAGATACATACCTGACATATGGAAGTGCAATTCCACCAGCTGAATTATTTCGACGTTTTCGTGGAAGAGATCTTAATCCTCAATTATTTTTAAAGAAGATAGAAACTTCAATAGAATCTCCAGAGATGCCTATAATATCAGAAGATATTGCACCTATATTAGCTCGTTAATAGTTTTCATAAATTTTAATCTATTTATACAACTGTTAATCATGTACACAGTTATTTAAGAATTATTTATTTGTATTTAATAGCAACAACAACAACACCCCTAACCCCCCCCAACCACCACCATCACTAACAAATACTTTATGCTTAACACTTGTACATTATAATACATTTTTCTTATATAACTGTAACGTGATGTTTTGTGTAGATTATAGAAAACTTGGTAAAACATTTTATAGTTTTCCATAAGAAATTTGTACACTTTTGTTTACAAAATACTTTGAATTCAATCAAACTATATAATTTGAAATAGGTAGATATCATTTTGTCACTATGGAATTGTAATGAGCAATCAAAAAAAAATCACTTAGGTGTTTCATATTTCTTCTTCTTCTTCTTTTTTAATGAACTACATTAAACTCTTAACAGATAGTGTTAGTCGTGTTTAACAATGATTTAGCCTATATGTGATTTTCAACTTAAATATCAAGATACTTATCATAAATGCAAATTGTATTTCTTGAAATTGTATTGTTGAATTCAATGTTATATGTCTTAATAATATTTGTTACTTCTATAACAATGAAATTCAGGTTAAAGTTTTAGGCTTTTCTACCAGTTTTGTAACCTTAAAGCAATTCATGTTGTGAACTTGACTGGTTACTTTATCTGGTAACAATACATTGCAGTTGTGATTATATGATATATGGATCTAAGCGTTATTTATAATAAATTAAGAAATATGTTGGTAACTCGCACCAGTCTATCTACTGGAAGGTACAGGGTTCCGTAAGTATCGTCATTTTATTCTGTTTGTGTAATACTGCCCGGGTACCCAAATCGAAGCAGGTGGTTTTCTTAGGGGGTCACACAACGAGCCTTTGACCTAAAGGTCTAATCCACAAAGCAGTGGAACATCGTGAGGAGATGCAGTCCCATGGTAGCCGGTGACCAACGATTGGGTCATACGCCATTTGTTCCCTCAGGATACTAGAGCCCATGTGCACCATAGGTTTGGAATCAGGGTTTTCCGACTCCCCTAGGTGGAGTCTCCATTTTCATCAACCTTGACAAAGCGCCGGACATTCGTTTTTCGTCCTCTCAATTTCATAGTCAATACGCCCGCCACGAGGAGGCAGTGAGTAGGACTTCTCTGGCAGAAGCTGTATACGCGTGACCGTGCGAGAACATTTCGAGAGGGAGGGTGGGTCCACCCTCGGCCATACCATCTTGAAACATCGACTTCGGTGGCTTGGACATGTCCCACGAATGTCGCCCCAGAGAATCTCACGTCGTGCATTATTCGCCGACGATGGGACTGGTTTGAAAATGCGAAGAGGTGGTCAGTGTATGACATGGCGCCGTGGTATGAAAGAACGCTGCAAAGGGCTGGCTTCTGTTGGTCCTTCACGACTCCCTGGCTGGGGTCATAGAGACGGTGCGACAGTGGCTAGAGACGTTATCAGATATGGCTCAGAATAGAAGCCAGTGGCGATCCTGCTATAACCTTTTACTTCATAAAAAGTGCTTGCTTCTTCCTTAACTAGAAGATTTCTTCTGGTTGTACCTTTCCGCTTCCCCCATTATTACTATTATTACACTACCTTACAGTAACCTGGTCGTTATTGTTCTTCTTTTCAAGCTTCTTACCTTTTTTTCTCTTCCCATTCGCATTGTTTTGTGTGGCGCATATATATTTGTTGCCCTCTTGTACCAATATTTATGTGTTCAAATAAATAAAAACCGGTGAATATCTTAACAATGTGGTATTTATATTAACTGATGATTCCTTTGTACTTGATTGTACTCTGATTACGAATTCCAAATAGAATACGTTCATTTGTTCTCATCAAGTTCTACTTGCTCTAAATCGTATTATTTCGGGAATTCCTAGTTAGTACATTAGTTCAAATACTTCTAATCATCATATTTACTTTAAGATTTGTTAGCTTCTTGTGTTAAGTACAGCGGAGAGATGATAATCTAGCCTATAAAACTTCAAGTACAGGGTGGTCCAGTCCTTATTAAAAGACAAATATTTCCTTATAATCTTTGAGAAGCACTACATAAGACAGCGAACGATTTGTGTGTGAAACGTATAACTGAACAATTCCAGTCTTCAGCATGAGGTAGTCTTATTGTTACGCCACTGAGTATGATAGCAAGTACACTGGTATATGTGGTGATTGTCAATCAACACTGAATCCCCGTTTGTTGATGCCAACATGCACAACGGTGAAATCTAAAGATAGTCTTATTCGACTTCATGGTTCTAAAATATTCTCAAAAGTTGACTTAAATAATGCTTGTCTTCAAATCTTGGATCAATCCTTATCTGATTTGACAACAATTATTACTATTTTTGTCTTATTCAAATACACCTTTTCGTTAGCTTTGAGTTGTTCCCCAGCCATATTTCAGGAAGTGATTATTAAGGTGTTGAAGTGTATCAAAATGATTTTATTATTCATGGTTCAGACAAAGTAGTTCATGATCAGACTTATTACTTTATTGCATCGTTTAATGGAGAATATTACGGTGAATCCAAGTAAATATTCATTTTTTGCATTTAGTTTTGAATATTTTGGATATCTAGTTGACGGTATCTATCTTAAACCAGATGTGAGGCAAGCACCTTCACTGACAAATGCACAATATCCGAAAAATCTTACAGAACTATATTCACTAATGAGTGCTTTTCATTACTATTCTCATTTTATTCCTGTATTCAACAATTATCTATAAAAACGTTTGTGCGTATTCTATGCAGCCCTCAGTGGTATCACTCACACTAAGCAGTCAAAAGCTTATCTGGTAGTAAATTGTGTACTGAGAATCAAGAATATTCCCTACAAAATTATGTCAGATTTTTACCTAAAAAATGTAATAAAATCACAACCGTTTCCGGTAGACAGTAAAAGATCCCTTAGTACCAACTACTGCAACGTAATCTCGAGTTCAGTTAAACAAGACAATGTCTATTACCCAAGACCGTAAAACAATGGACTTGAATAATAGAACTCTATCAAGGGAGATTGAGAAATGCCAAAGTATGTTTAAACGAATCCTAAACAAAAGTTATATAAAAATTTGTTAGAATATTTAAAAATAAAATAAAGTATTTTCAAGGCATACGTCCCACGACAGTGCGGCTTGAGAATACACGTTGAGGGTTGTTACTAACTATTACTAGCTAATCTAGTCAACTGGTTGTTTCATGCAAGAACATACGACGTCTTGAACTGTATAGAAAAATGCCTGTTAGTAGATGGTTGCAATTCAGATTGTGTGAACTAGTGAAATAATTTCTGTACAATTAGAGATAAATCGGGAAAGGACGTGTGCTATCGCCTTCATAAAGAGAAATCGCATAAAAATCGACATTTTGTCCAATGAATAGGTTTAATATAAATCAATCAAACTTCTCAGTTCAAGGTATATCAGTGAGATGTAAGTCCACGTTGTACTTTCAATCTGCACCTTCTGAAATGTTTATTGAAAATATATGATCATAGCTTCACTAGAATACTTTACTTGAGAAATCTAGATAGTTTCGCACATATCCGCAAACGTCTGCTCTCTAACAGGAATATTCGCTGGTTATCTGAGACAAGAAGTTCAAAAACTGATTATTCTTCTTTCCTAAACGTGACAAAAACTGTTTCCTCTGACGTTTATCAACACGTCACATATTAATGTTTTCATTACTTACCTTGTTACTGTTGTAAGTTCACACAAATTATTTTGCTCTTCTGTCCTCTCAATATTTTAGTTAGTTTTATCATTGTGATCAAATGAAGCACAAACAGTTCCAGCGAACGCATTATCATAGAACACATTCGACTGATTTATATCGTTTTATCATAAACATGTTATTGCTCCAACTACGAAAGCTTTCGAAAACGTCAATAGAATCTCTCATCAGTTAAGAAATTTTCAGTACTTGGTACTTCTTGGTCCATACTCGGCTAAGCCAGTTCAGAGCTCTTCAGCTTCAAGTTCTAATTTCTTATGAACACTCACAAGCAATCACTTCTTCAGTGGAAACACAGTGAATTAAGATTATACTGCTACCCATTTAGCTGGCGGATGTAAATGATTGAAAGTATGGAGATTTAATATATTTCTGACGAGGCAGAAATTGTGGTCGAAATGGGCAAGTAAATGTATGCATGTGATCATATATGCATTAAATGTGTCACCTTACGGCAAAAATATGCCGTGCATACATAGATGTTTCTGAGAGGATTTGTCGCGGCACGGATTCCATCACGTTGACTTCGAAGTCGGACGCCTACTGATACATTCATTTAGTTCAGCAACACTCGGTTGAGAAAATTTCCTGGTGATGATAATTATATGATACTCATGTACGCCTCGCATTTCCTTCGACTTCCTTTCTTTGGTATCTCGAGGTGTGTCCTTCTTTCCAGTCCATCGGGACTTATTCTTCCTCTCAAATCTTTCTGAATAGCACGTGAGTCATGTTTGTAGTTGCATCGGAGACCGACTTCAGTGCTCCAGCTGGTATGTTGTTAGATCCTTGTGGTGTTTGAATTGACTAATGATACTTTTGTACATGTTGATTGCACAATTTCGAATTCCAAATACAGTACATTCGTTTGTGCCTGTCTTCTTAATTCAATTGCGTTATTTCTGGGACTCTTAGTTCGTGCTATAATTCCAGTAAGTCGAAATACAATACTGGCGTCGTGATGGAACCTGCAATGGAAAAGTTAGACATTCATTCAACTTCGGAAGCATTTGAGGATTATTTCGAAAGGTTCGAAATCTGGGTCATGACCATGGAAGATGATGAGGATATTAATATTGTGGCATATTTCCTCACATTCATCGGTAAAGAAGCATACAGTTTATTAAGAACGCTGGCTATGCCGGAAAAACCCATTTCGCTTCCTTATACAACTCTCAAGGCATTACTACTAGACCATGTCAGGTATGCAAATTTTGATTGCAGTAAAGAAGGGGAATTTCCTAAAATGATTCATCAGGACATTAAAAATTCTACCACATCACGTTATCCTAATCCAGTACATATTCAAGGTTATGCAAATAATTCATTGCGGAGTTGCAGTGCGTTTCAAGAAGATGGGCACAAGTTTGGTCAGTGTTTGTCCTGTGGCAAGTTCCATGCTTTTAATTCATGTAAATTTCGTAATTCTAAATGCTTTAAATGTGATGATATTGGATATATTCAGTCAGTCTGCAATACTAATGTTCATGTTATTGCAACTAATATTAAGTCTTGTAATTGTGATTCTACTGAGTCGAGTATTTATAATGATGATTTATCTTTATCAACTATTGCAATAGACAGTGTAGAGTCAAAAAGCAGTTCAGAGTTAAATGAAATCCAGAATCCTTGTGAGACAACAGTTCCTAATCAACCGATTTATCAGAATTCTCATGCTATTGTACCAGGTATGACTTTTCCTAATGATTCACATATTTCCGATGAAATTTCTTACAAATCTGAGGAAAATATGTTAAATGAACCTATTCATTATCAAAAACCTGAGGCAGTCATGATAGATGCTAATTTTTCTAATGATCCATTGCTCTGCAATGACATTCT